TGAAAGAAACTCTAGGGTTCTCTTGACTTTCCCAGCTAAACAGGGAGCTGGACAGCTAATAGCGTGTCTGTGAGTGTATGGTAGGAAGGGAGCACTTTCTTCACCAGATATCCTTTCTCCATCCTCGTGGACTGAGGACCATAATCTTCTCCAGGAGGTCCTTGAGAGGGCATTCTGACTCAAAGAGGCTTTCCAGAGGGGTTCTCTGAATGGTCTCTGCATTCCCAAGGGTGTAGCTCTCCCACCACCAAAGAGCCATAGTTCTCCACCACAGGCCCTTGCGCTCCCCCCTGTCCTCCTCTCACACCTGGTTGGTTCTTTCTTGCTACACCTGTAACTCTGAGCTTTTGTTCCTACATAGCATGTCTGTGAGTGTATGGTAGGAAGGGAGCAATTTCCAAAAGGAGAGAGGAGGAGGAGGGAATGAAGGGAGTATGAAAGGAGAGAGGAAAACAGAACCGCAGCCTCTACCCCACCTCAAGACCACCAGGGAACATTAGAGGCCTGTGTTCTGCCTTCTGAGGAAAGCTGGCTCTGAGATCACCTGTGGGGCTCCCCAGCCAAAGATCCCTCCAGCCCAGTCCCTGCCAGACGTGTGACTAACGGTGTCAAATGTGAGAGGAGAAACGGCAGCTGAGCGAACACTCCGTGTTAGCACAAACAGCTGGCGACAAACGTCTATGTAATTGGAATGCCAGAAAAAATAAATTGCATCCATTTTTATGACTGGAAGAGAATTTGATGGTGGTTTCCCACCCACCCTCCTTTTTTCTCAGCACAGATAGACTCTGTGGGCTTTGAAAGCAAATGGTGCTTAACTCAAAAGGTTGGCCCAGAGGATTTGGAAACAGACCTCTTACCCACTCCACTTACATGTGGGAGGCAGGACAGGGAAGCGGTGGAGGCCGGGCACCCCTCTCTTGCTGGCCAAGTGACCCTGTGAGAGTTCCTCAGGAACCTCAGTTTCACTGCTTGTGCAATGGGACAAGATCGGCCCCCTCACAAGGTTGGTGGGAGGAGTTGGCAAGGTCAGAAGCCCTCAAGCGCCAGGCCCAGCATATAATCTAGGCTCAAAGGACATCAGGATTATCAGTATTCTAGGGATGCATTGCCTTGGGGTTCCAAAGGTCTTTGTGGGAGAATTTCAATCTGTGTGAAATGTCTGTGGTAGGCAGAGTTCAAATGAGTATTTAGTCATTTGGACAGAAAAGGAGGCTGAGGCAAGGTAAGACCTCAGTTCAGAAAGTTCAACTGGAAAGAGTTTAGAATTAACTTTCAGCAGCAACTTACCTTACAGAAGTGGAAACTGAGACCCCAGTGCAGAGTGACAATGTGCACAGCAGGTGGGGAGGAAGCCGGGGTGGTGTCCCTTTAGAGGCTCTGTGGGGGGAGGGGGACTGGATCCAGCCAGAGCAGGAGCTTTTGAGGCTCTTCCTTCCACTCTATGGGACTTGGGAACAGCCACAGAAAGAGCAGGTGTTATCGGGTCCAGACAATAAGGGGACCCTCAGAACACGTCAGCTCTCACTGACCCCCAGACCCCAAACCAACATGCCTGCTCATCTTTGTCCCCAGCATCAAAACTACAGAAGCCTGCACTCAAAATGTTCTTCCAAAGAGAAGTAAGGTCACCCTCAGATCCACCAAGAAGAAAAGCCTCTCCAGAAAGCAGCAGGGAAAAGAAGGAGGACACAGGTCCAGTAGAGCTGCACCAGTCAGCGCCTCCTCTGGCTCCTGATGAACCACAGGGTGGAAGCAAACTCTGGTCTGACAAAGCCAGCCTCCCCAGCCCAGCCAGATAGTCACATAGCTCCAGGGGTCCCTAATAGCTGCCCAGCTCCCTCTGAACATCATGGTTCAGCTCATCACTCCCCAACCCAGGGTCTGTGAGCAACTTGGGGGTGGGAACTCACTGGCCATTTATCATTGGGGCTTAAACTATGTCATCAATGTTAGTAGCTGTTGTTATTATTGCTCAATATCTTAAAATCGCTGGGGAAGAGGGTGTCCTAGATTGTGGGAAATTGGTCCTTTCCAATTCCACATGTCTGGCAAGGCCCACCCAGCCCAGGTGGGAATGGCCCTGCTACTCTTCTTCCTCTTTCTCTTATTCCTCCTGTCCTCAGCTCCAGGGAGTTGCTGCTTTAAAAACAGGAGCTGCGGGAGCTGCGGAAACCTGGCCCACAGCCAGGTGCTTAACATGCATTATCTCAGGCTGCAGTCAGAGTCAGAACTGAGCTCTCCAGAGCCCTTCCTCTCCTCCCTCCTGTCTCTCTGCAAGACAGACCGAAGCTTCCAAACGGGACTCCAGGGTCTCCCCTAAGGAAGGGCTGAGATGGGCAAAAGGACTTCCTTTGAGTTGATGACACATCGGTGTGTTTTCTTGCTTCTCTTCGCTTTCTATCTCCCCCATTAGGATGTGAGCCTGGCTCACCGCCATCCCCAAACCCTCAGGCTGCCCTCAGTGGCGAGGTAACAGGGCCTTGATCAGAGCCCCAAATCTATATGGTCTGTCTACAAGGACTGTGGAGGTTAAGTCCCTCCCCCTCCCCCATGAATACTCATTATGGTGTCTGTGTGCTTAGCACAGGACTCCCATGTGTTACTCAATGTAAGTGCTCAATAACATTGAATGAATCAATCAATGAGCCAAGAAGTAAATGAATCTTTAGAACACCAGGCTCCTTGGTTCTTGTTAACAAAATGAAGTCCTATGCCAGTTACTCAGGGCTACCAAGTGAGTCACTAGAGACCATCCCTGAGGACACCTTGGAATTCACCTACCTGCACAGTGACCGAGATGCAGGAAGGCACAAGCACTGGGAGTCGCGTGGTCCTTTGAACCCCTAACCTGCCGAGGCAGGATGCTGGTGCTGGGGAAGGTCTCTGATGCCCCCGCAGCTTTAGGACCCTGTCCCACTCCTCCATCTAAGTCCTCTTGGTGCAAGGACTCACCCAGGGACAGCATCAGGGGATGGCAGCTCCAGGGTGAGCCCCTGCCCAGAAGGGATGCAGATGTACACTTCCCAGTGCCCTTGTAAGGTGAGGCAAGACTGCAAGACCTTAGAATGGCTGATATGTTTCTACCATCCCTATCTACTGATGAGAAACACAGGCTCCAAGAGGTAAAGAATGGACTCAAGATGCTGCTGCAGGTAGGTGACAAGACAGGACTTTGAATTCAGGGCTGTGTGATCTTCTTAACCACAAGTTGCCCCCTCGGGCTCTCAATCAGGATGAGGGAGATACAGGACCAGGTGGTCTCTAAGGTGTCTCAGCTTTGAGGTGATTTCAGGGGAAGCCAAAAACTCACCTCTTGGCTCCATTCACCACCCCCTTCACTCCTCTCCCAGGTATGAAGCCTCTGTCCCAGCCCAGGGCACTGCTCCAGTCAAGGGGCAGAGAAGGGAGGGGTGTCAGCACTCCTGCCTCTGGTGGGAGAGGTGAGGGCTCTCAGAGAGGGGGTACATGGGTGGAGATGGAGAACATGGTGCCTGCCCACTGCCCATCCACACTTCCCGGCCTCCTGAATGCCAGGGGAAGTTCACTTGGAGTTTACAAACCTCCTTTGTCACAGAGCACGGCATGGAGCCATCAATCACACCCTTAATTTACCCGTGTCACTTTCCAGAGGAAAGCTGCCCTGTGAGCAGCCAGTGGCGCTTCCTCTCTCACCCACTTGATAAGGTTTTCATCTAATTGGTCTACATTAAATCACCTCCAGAAATGCAAACACAATTATAGCAGCGACAGTCACTGTTGGTGAGCACATGGGCCCTCTCTGTGAAGGTAAGAGTACCCACAGAGGCACCCAGGGAAGGCTCTGCCTGGCAGGGGGCTGGGGGAGGAAGGTCAGGAATGGGGGAGGGGCAGGCCAGGAAGGACCTGAGGGGTGGAAGGGGGGATGGAGGATGCCAGTCACTGGCTCCCACCACACTCCCCAAGCAGGGATGCCCAGGAAGCCAGGCATCTCTCACCGCCTCCACCCTCCTCACAAGGACACAGACTAGGTCCCAACCTCTGTCCCTCTAGCCTCTCAGACACAGAGTTCCAGAGGTTGCCCTAAGTTTCACTTTGCACTTCCTGGCAATGACCCCCAACTGGAAATGCGGGAAGCACAGCCCATCTGGGAACACAGCTGTCCCCAGCATCTTTCCACGCACACACGTGGATTTCTCAAACGCTGGCCAGGAGAGCGTAAGGCTTTGTGTCAGCTGTTCCCTCTACCCTAGATGTGTTCCTAGCTCCTCTGCCTGGTGACCTCCCAGTTGTCCTGCCAGTCCTGCTCAAACACCTCTTATACCAAGATGCCCTTTCAGGCTCCCTTGAGCAGGAGAAGTGACCATCCTTCCTCTGCCTGGCCTTTCACTGGCCCTGACACAGGACTGGCATACCCCCACCCCCCTTACAACACTGTCCCTCCCTTGTCTACTGGCAGGAGGGTCTCTCTGGTTCTTGTGAGCTGTGTGTGGATAGGGATCATAGTTTGTCATCGCTATACCCTTGCCCAGCATGCATGACACATGGTCGGGGCTTAGCAAATCTTTCTAGCACGAATGAATGAATATCACCTTCAAACACAGCCTCAGGTAGCCCACAGGCCAAGTCATATTCCCCAGACATGCCGAAGGGCCCTCCTCAGCTGTCAACCGGCTCAGAGAATCTCATCCTGATATGACATCTATTAGGGGTTGCGTGGGGAATTCAGCACCATAGCACATAAGACAGAAGAGCTTCAGAGACAAGCCACCTCTTCTTTCTGTGACAGGCAAGTCCAGGCCCTGAGGTGACTATCCAAGGTACCCAGCATCCTCTTTACCAGGAGTAGGATCATACCCATAATCCCAGAGATATTAGGGACTCTGAAACAGAGATGACCCCAGCAAGACACCAGGGTGGATCTCACCGGCCTCTTTGGAAGTCTCGGTGCACAGGGGGGCACCCAAGTTCTGTCCGCACCTCCCCTGTCCATCTCAGGAGATGGTGCCAAGGGCACTTACCTTTCGTTTCTTGGCACGTCCCTCGGCCTGCAGGGTGCGGGTGCAGCGCTGCACGCACTCGGAGAAGCTGAGGTTGCTGTGGTCGGCGCTGTAGTCGAGATCAGCCAGCCGCGCCAGGGACAGGATGTAGTTACAGGCAATCCTCAGGATGGCCAATTTGGACAGCTTCTGCCCATATGAGTAACATGGCACCTGAGAAATAAGAAGGTGTCAGGAGGAGCTGTAGGGTTCTTTGTGCTGAGTAAAGCCCCCAAGGGGTACCCCAACCAGCCTCCTGCTGCCCAGGCACTCAGACACTGCAGATGTGGCCAGGGTTGCAGGCTAGAGCCACATCTGTAGCCTCTGAGAAGGTACTGCTGAGCACCACAGGAGGCCTGTCTAATTCTTTGACCTAGATTTATTCTCTGTTCTAAGCACCTGCTGTTTACACACTCTCATCTCAGCTTATCCACTCAAATTCTGGCAAGTCTTCACGTTCCCATTTTGCAAAGGAAGAAACTGAGTCTGGATGAAGTACAGTGAACTCCCTTGTGGATGGTGCTTTGGAGTTGGGTCCTCCACCAATCCCAGAGAAGTCTCTGGGAGAACATTTTCTTTCAACTGACATTCCATCACTCACTCATTCAGCTACACTTGTTTGGCTGGACACCAGGGGGTCCAACACTGAATAATCATTTGATTCCTGTCTTCAGAGAACTCATGCTCCAGGGTGATGCCATCCCATCTGCGCAGTTAGGCACCTGGTACTCCAGGAACACCAAGAGAGGCGGCAGCACTCAGTTAGCAGGCCCACTCGGTTGGTGTACCTATGCTTCTCTCTTTCCCTCTGGACCTGGGGAGCTAAACACTAACAGCCCCAAGCAGACTTGACATATGACTCATTATCAACTACTCTCAATAAATGCACAGGATGGCACTGGATGGCATACTGGATGGCACCTCCAACTTTTTAATGTCTCCCCACCAATATACGTTGTATGCGCAAAGTGCCAAGGGGACTGCAGCTGAGTTCTGTGCTGTGACATGGAAACGTCACCATGAAGCCCATCGACAGGGGCTAACCCACAGACTCTATAGTTGCTATGGCGCTTGCCCAACAACTAAGACTCCAGGCTTCCCCCTCACTGTAGCTCTCCAGGGAGGCTCCTGAGAGGGCCCAGGACAAAGATCCTGCTCATTTCCCACCTCCTGCTGGTGCCGAGATGGCAGCCCATGCTTTTGAAAAGTTTGCTGTCACCTTTAAAAATCTTCCAGCGACCAAGGGGTTGCCCCTTGCCAGACTAGGAAACCCAGGGAGGGGCAGGAAGGCAGCAGAGAAAACCCTGTCATGCCCCCTTCCCGCCCCCAACTCCCAGACAGGCCTCAGCTCAAACCCATCCAAGAAAAGTCACAGAACAATGCACTTTGCCTGTTCCCAACCAAAGTCCAGAGAATCCTGCTTTATCAGCCTGAGTAAACAAACAAGGTCTGGAGGACAGAAAGTTTCCTGGGAGTCCCAGGGCAGAGGAGGGGGTCACAGGGGTTGGCCTCACACCTCTGCCTCCCCTGCACCCCAGGCTGGGGGTGCCTCTCTGGTGCAGGCTCCAAACACTGGGCACAGCTCTGTGAAAGTGCTGATTCCACCCAGACACTAAGCTGGGAGAGAACCAGCACTTTGAGCCCTTGGCCCCTGAGCAGCTAGGCTTCCCAGCCAGTAGGCCAGTGGGGAGCAGGGATCTCAGGAGGAATCTTCACGTGGAGATCCTGGGTCAGTGTGGGACTACTAGGTAACAGAGGAGCCAAGGCCAACCTAGGGGCTCCTGTGCCAGGTTGTGGGCCAGTTTCATTCCAGATTTGTCACTCTGTCCCATTACTTCTGTCAAAGTCCAGGTCTAACTAGAAACTGTTTACTGAGCTCTGCTTGTCTATCTGGCACTGTGGGATCATTTACAGTTTTATCTCATTACAGTTTTATCTCATTTAAAATCTTCCCCTAAATAAAGATTGTTATCTCATCTGCACAGGAGGAAGCAGAGGTGACATATTAGGCCCCAGGTCGCTCAGGTAAGACCTGGATGGAGCATCTCTGCTCCCAATAGGCTAGCTTGGAGGTACTCACATGCCCTTATGCAGGTCCATAACCTTAGGGGACCTCAGTTTCCTCATCAATAAAATGGGCATCAGAATACTTGCTACGTCAGATGGGATCACGGTGAGTAAGTCCGGGAAGGTGTCACAGAGAAATGAAGGCAAGAGGTCTCCACCTTCCTACCTGTGTGCCAACTCTAACCCACCCTTCAGAGACAGCCTAAGACTCCTTCTGGGAAAGCCCAAGACCCCTGGACCCAGAAAACTCCAACATCACTGCATTCACGACACATAGCTGAGATCTGGATTCCATTTAAAATTACTCTCTAGGGCCTCCCTGGTGGCGCAGCAGTTGAGCGCTAGGTCTCGAAGCTGCCCGCAGCCTCTGCAGTGCTGGTTCAATCCCCGGCCGCAGGGCAAGGGTCCCACATGGTGCACAGACCTCTCCTGCAGCCCACTGCTCCCCTCAGCAGTGTACTTCAGTCCTTCTGCCTGCTCTGCTCTCTGTTCTGGCTCTGGTGAATTTTCTCACCCTCCCGCGCTTCTGACTGTACCCAGTGCTTGTATAAATAAATAAATTTAAAAAATAAGTAAAATAAATAGAATAAAATTATTCTCTAGGCTTCTCGTATCAGAGTACTGGATTCCTGGGCAAAGCTACTTGAGGTCTATTTTAAATATGTTATTTAAAATCTCAACCTTCTACCCGGCAACAAGTCTGGACCCTGATAACCTGGTCTTAGTAGTTAAAAGCCATGGTCCCAGGGCCAGATGGGACTGGGTACAGACCCTGATTACTTGCTCAGTCTCTCCAGAAGCATCTTTACCTCTAAAGTGGGAAGGCAGCTCTGCATTTCACAGTCAGGGCCACAGGTAAGGCACTTTGCCCAATGCAATGTGGTGCAACAAGCAGCAACCCTGGTGACTGTGGACCTGAGAGGGCAGGAGAGAGCCCTCTGTCCTCCCTAACCCACCTGGATAGAGTCCAGTATGCAAGCAGGCCTGTCTTCCCTTCCCTAAGAAAGTGTGCATAGCTGTTGTGGGGTCATGGCTCCCTGGCACCTTATGGGTCTGGGTTTGAGGTAGGTGCTAGGCTGGGAGTGCCAACCCCATAACCCCTCCTGGGCCAGCCTAGTTCACTCAGTGAGGACACCCTGGCAAATGGCAGACACCACTTGCCCGGCATCTCCTTCACAAAGAGGCACCTCAGTGGGTCCCAAAGACTTCTCACTGCTGCCCAGGCCTCTGCCCCACAAGGCCACCCCTTATCAAGACTGAGGGCCTTTGTGCTTTGAGGAGAGGAGATCCATGCACACACGCCAGATGCCCAAGAGTGAGCACAGCCTTGAGCCAGAAGGTTCTGCCAGGAGGCCAGGCCCATAGCTCTGGCTCCTCCCCTCACCCACCCAGCAAGTCCAGGCTTTCCCTTCCACCCCCTCCCACCTGGCCCCAAGCAGCCCTGCATATGGGCCAGGCCCAGCTGTGCACACATGGCCTTCACATGAGGCAGCAGGGAGGGCCCTACGCAGCTGGGCTGGTGGCATGTGCTGTGGCCTGACCATCTGCCCCGCACACCGATCATCCTGGCCCCAGGGCCATGCACTCCCCTCCCAAACCAGAAGGCCTCTCCCCAACCTGCACCTCCACGGTTTAGCAGAATGCCCTAACCGCCTTCTGCCTACTTCCTAGTTGAGAGGATAATGTGTTATCCTACGAAATAGGATGCTGCCTGGCCTCCCTGTGCTGAGGATCAACAGCTCCAGGGTGGTCAAGAGGCTGAGGAGCAGAGCTATGAAGGGACAAGTTCCTGGCACAACTCATTGACTGACCCAGATTCAAATCCAGACTCTACAATGACAGCAGCACACTGCTTTGCAGGCTGTGGCTGCACCATGCCAAGGCAGTGCCAGCACACTGGGGCCCAGTGAGTGCAAACCAGGGAGATGTGCAGTGTAAAACCCACGAAGCCACTTGCAGTCTCCAAAGGCCAGAGACCTCGACCAACTTATATAAATTCTGACATGGGGGGTGGGAGGAAAGGAATATGATGACAATACCTTCTCATTCAATGAACTAATACACATGATATGCTTGGCACAGAGTCTGGCATAAAGTAAACACTCAATGAATGGTCATCCCTATGATTGTTATTAAAATAATTAAAGAACATTTATTTCTACATTGTCAAGGCCTGGCCCAGCACCGAGGACTTTGTAGATGCTCAAGAAATGTTCACTCCTCCTGTAGCTTCCATTCCTTTCTTCATTTTTTCTTTGGAAAGAATTTGTGTACTCCCTGTGTATAGGGTGTCATCAAAATTTTCCAGTTTTAGCAACTGAGGCCCAGAGGGCGAAAGTGACTTGTCCACAGTCACACATGATTAAAATCCCAGTCTCTAGCACCCCAAGGCTGGTGCTCTTCATACCTTACCAGGAAGCTGCTCAGGGAAATGAAGGCCACAATCCCAGAAGTGACTTCAGTGCAGTATCAACCAAGGCCTTATCTCAGGCAGAACTGTCCTCCTCCTTCCCTCAAGGCCACATCCAAAAGTAAAGTGCGGGGTGTACACACGCACATGCATTCTCCACATGGAGGTTAAAGCCTCCACGGAGCTCCCTTGGGACCCAGGGCTCTCTCCATTGGATGGGTGATATGGTGGGTGTAACCTTGGCCCCAGGTTCTGTGATCAGAAGGCTCCCAGCTATGTTTCTTGCCCTCTCATATAGCAGGCAGGTGCCCTTGATGGCTTAGCAGCCTTTCCAGGAAAGGGAAAGAGTGGTTGGGCAAGAGGGAACAAAGGAGCAGGCCCTGTGCAGCCACGCATCGTGGATGTTCTTGAGCATGCGTAATGATCATGTGAGTGCACACGGGTGTGTGTACCTGCATGCCTGTGCATACATGCCCTCTACCTGAATTGGTTTCTTTTATACAGAACTTCCCCACAGAAAGTGAAGAAGGCCAGGATCATACTCTCTTCTCAGAGTTAGCTGGGTATACACCCAGTCTCCAATTGTGACACTCCATAGGTAGGTGTGGGGGAGCCGACGACACTGATGTGGATGGCACCATGGGAAGCATTTAGCCAGGTGGGCATTCCAGAAACAGCCGGCATCTTCCCTAGCCCACTAGGTTATTTATACAAGTCTCCTCCCTTCTCTAGGCCTGTTTTCCATCCCACAGAATGGGACGTTAGGGTCAAATCAGATGGAACTTATTATCAAAAGAAACGAAAACCACTGGACAAATGAGATGTAGTACAACACTCAGAGGTCATGAATATTCTCTCACTTGGAACTGAAAGAGGCAGCTGGAGGGGTCGAAAGGGTGCTGAACTGCAGGCTGCAGGGCCTTCATGCCTGCCCTGTACTGCTACTCACCAGCTATGATGCTCTAGGCACGTGTCCGCCCCAACTTGGGAGGTGTTCCCTAGTGGCAAGGAGAGGGGGTAGACAGGCATCTCTGTGCTCCTTTGTCATCCTTCTGTCCTGGGGGGTAGGGGTTGGCAGGACGCTGTAGGCTGCTGTGCTCTCCAGGCATTTAGATACACAGCCCCTGCCCAAGTGTGGGCAGGACCCCTCCATTGGACCCACTGCCTAGTGTTTCAGTTGGTGTGGGTATGGGCAGTGTCCCAGTCTGGTCTATGACAGCTCCCTGACCTTCCACCCTGACCAAACATCTTATCCAAACCCAAGCAAGACATTGGCTCAAAAGTCATCAAGCTTCTTTCCTCAAGAGTTCAATTCCCTTCCCATGGGTAGACACAGGAACCACTGCTCATCCCACTCATAGGAGGAAGGCAAGAGTGTGTGATCCAAAAAGAAAATCATGTTTTCTCACCAGCTTTGTTGCTGGCTAAAGCCCAGAGAGGCTAAGTGACTGTCCTGCAGTCACACTGGAAGTCAGTTGCAAAGCAAGTAAAAACCCTGACCATTCAAACCAGTTACATCCACACCCAGCCCTCCACCATGCCCTGTGGGGTGGGGGCAGTGAGCACGTACCACTCTCTTCTTAGATCTCCCTTCTCTCTGAGAATATGACACCCTTAGAACCCTAGGAAAGTCCCAATCTTGTCTAAAGTGGAATTGTAAAACTGCTCTTCCCCACTATGGGCAACTCTTGGGCAAATATTTTCTCCCTTATTTATCTGGTGAGGGCAGCCCCTACCAATCCCAAACTGAGAAGCACCTGACCTACCCCACAACTAGGCTCTGAAGATCCCCCAACTAACCGGCAGAGGGGCCTGCCTCACCACAGGGTGAAGGCCTGCAGAGGAGATCTCCTGAGAAGACTCACCAATTACTAAAGCAGCTTTTGCAGAGTCCTAAGGAAACCTAAGTACAGGGACAACCTTGCTGGGAACCAGGACAGAAGACGACTGACAGGCTTCCCCAAAGCCCCATGCTTCTTTTTCCTGCAACCCCAGGACCACCCCTCCACAGCATTCCAGACCTCCCAAGACCTGGATCAAGCCAAATGCCCCAAAGGGAAGGGTCTTCCTTCCTTCTCCGCCCGCAGCACAGTCCCACATTCCCCTTCTTCACTCCCCACCGCGCCCAAGGGACTCCTGGAAACCAATGAACTCGTTGCCATAAAAGTGAACTATGAGGGCTGAAGTCAGGCGCGCAGACAGGATCGCGGGAGGGAAGGAAAGGGGACCAGGGCGTGCCGGGCCAGAGATCTCCAGCCTTCCCCCTCCACTTTGCAAACGAAGAGCCAGCGCTGTAGCAAAGCTCCCAGCCCCAGCAAGGGCCAAACCTGTGTGGATCCTAGTTCCCACCATGTGGGGACAGCTCTTCCCTCACACCCTCATCCTCCAAAGTCCCCGACCATTCATTCACCCACCCACTGCGACAATCGTGCCCGGCCGCCCTGAGGGTGTGCACCGCAGCCAGCCGGTACCTGCTTCCTGAGCGCCTCGAAGGCGGCGCTGATGGTGTGCACTCGCGTCCGCTCCCTGGCGTTCGCTAGGAGCCTCCGGGTCTGCTGCAGGGCTTTGATCTCCGACGAGGCGGCGGTAGCTTCGCCCGGCCGTTTCCTAGGCGACGCGGAGGAATCCGGGTGGTTATTGTAAATTACGTGTGAAATTGACGAGTAGGAACTTTCCCCAGGGCGCGTGGGGGGCGCGGGGCGCACGGAGGACTCCGGGGGCGCGGGGGGCGCGGACGGCGCGGGGCGTGCAGGCGGCGCGCACAGCAAGATGCGGGGGCGCAAGCCGGGCTCTCGGAAAGGCGGTGCGTCGGGACCTCCAGGTACCTGGCCCTGGGGTGCCGGCGGCGGCGGCGGCGTGGGGAGTCCCGGCCCCACCGCGCCCAGAGCAAAGCCGCGTTTTCGCGCGTCCAAGACCTCCGGCGCCCGGGCGCCTCCGCGCTCCCCCGCAGCGTCCGAGGCCCCACCTGAAGGAACGGCCGGCGCCGCCGGGGCGGGCACCGGGGCCGAGACGGGCTGCAGCCGCTGGGTCCTGTCCCGCAGCCCGTTGGTGGCGGCGGCGCCGTGTTCGGGCGCTTCCAAGTCCAATCGGAAAGTTTTATAGCCGTTCACGCGCCGCGCCGGCTCCTTGCCTTTCCGCTTGAGCTTCTTGAGACCGTTGAGCTCTTTCACGCACACGGTCTTCCAGGGCCCGTCCTCGAGCACCGGGATGTGCTTCATGGCGCGGGCGGCGCGCGAGGCAGGGGCGTGGGGTTGCCCGGGACGCGCGCCCGCCGCGCTCGCCCTGCACGCCGCGCGCCGGCTCTGCCCGGGCGGCCGCCGCGCTCCGCGCCTGGGAGTCTCGGGCTCGCCCCCTTTTCTCTCCCTCCCTCCTCCCCCCCTCCCTGCTTTTCTCCCCCTCGCCCGGGGCAGCTGCGCCGCCGGCTCCGCGAAGCCGCCGGGCTGCCCGTTCCCGGAGCGCTCAGAGTGTCATCTGAAGTCGCGGCCGCCGCGCCAGCGTTTCTGGAGCACGCCCGCTGCGCTCCATCTGTGTTTGTTTAGCCTCAGTTTACACAGAAGCCCGGTTCGCGAGATCAGTCAGCGCCGCCGCCCGGAGAGGAGGCAGCTCCCGCCGCCGCCTCGCCAGCCCCGGCCGCCCGAGCGCGAGCGCCTTTAAAGAAACAGGAAGCATTTTTCAAAACAGCTGGGCCGCCGGCCGCCTCCTTTGTCCGCGTCCTCCCTGCCTCCCCCCACCCCCATCCCTTCTGCCCAGAACCTGCCTCCGCCGGCGCTCGCTCCCCGCCCCCTACTCAAGTCCGGGGCGCTTCGGTGTTCCCAGAGGCTGGTTAGCGCCCCACGGTCCTGCCCCGAGCACGTGGCTCCCGAGCCCTTGGGCCCACCCCCACATCGGAGCTGGGTCTTCTCCACCCGGCCTTGCTGACCTCTCGTGGACGCGGCAACGTCCGCTCGCATCCAGCACCTCCTTCGACACCCCTGCACCCCAACTCGCCCGCTGAGGAGGGAAAAAGAGCAACGACTTCTGGGGAGATCCATGAGGGAAGGAACAGGCTGTGGCGTTGGCCTTGACCCTCACTTCAAGGGTCCTGTCCAGTCTGGAGCAGGGAAGCCAGGGGTAAAATGCCAAAGAGTTAGGGAGACTGAGGTTCTGAAAGGAATTTGCTTTCCCACAGTCACACAGAGAATGGAAGAGGCCAAGGAGGCCAAGGAGAAAGGCGCTTAGAGTTCAGACAGACTTAGCATCTGTGAGAATCCCTAGTCATCTCACTCCAGGTTACCCACTAAGCTGCATTTACTCATCTCGAAATGAAAAATCCCCCCCCAAAAAAAATTAATAATAAAATCACTGCCTAAGTCACAGCATTTAATTGTTGTGAGGAATTAAGCCGTGGCACTTAGAGGATACTAGTCAAATGATAGCTTTAGTTCTTAGTAGAAGCAGTTGAGGCAAAATAGCTCCCAGAGGTAGATTTGCTTGGTTCAAACCAGCCCTGGCACTTAGAAACTGAGTGACCTTGGGCAAGTCACTGAACCTCTCTGTGCCTCTCTTTCATCCTCTAGAAAATGGAAGTAATAATTGTACTTTCCTTCCAAGGTGACTGTGAAGATTATCTGATCATGTATGTGCAAAGCACTGAGAGTGGTGCCTGGCAGAGAGATCTACAGGAGTTCTTGGCGAAGGGCAGACATCCACTGCCCAGACCCTTGGTCCTCTGTGACACACCACTGGAGATTCTAGAGAGAAGAGGTCAAACTAGTGTGCCCAGGCATTACCCATGGCCTACTTCCTAAGGCCCTGAAGACCAGTACATTTCTCTGTCCACTCTCTGGCAGTTTCTCCTCATTGTGGTAGGTACTAACAGCAACTTGGGAGGAGAAAACAGACCTTTAACCCTGGCTTTGGATACTGGCCTCTGCAGCCACTGGTATCTTCACCTTTCTGCTTTCATTCCTCCACTGCCACTCCCAAGCCCACCAGTGGGCTTTCTCCAGGGACAGTTCAGAGCAGAGTGCCCTCCCTCCTTCCAGGGAGAATGCCCTGGGATGGGTGAGGGGGAAAGGTGTGGTGATATGCAGGGACCTGGAAGGTAGGATGGGGTCTGGGTCAAGGGCAGGAGCATAGACCTGGGGTCAGACCTGGACCTTGGCTCTTCGGCTATCAAGGCCCGTAAGACATTTCATCCCCCCTGGGGTTCTGTTTTCTCATCTGTCCTTGCAGATGATAATTCTGTCCAGCCAACCTCTCAGGGTATTTGGGAAAATAAAGAGAGATCATGGATTTAAAAGAACTTTGACATCAGGTTTCTAACATCCACACATGCATTCACCCATATTCACACACACACACACACACACACACACACACACACACACAGAGAGAGAGAGAGAGAGAGAGAGGCACATGGTTTTCTAACTATAGTAAATATAAAGTCTCCTTTTTTCTGCACGGATGGGTCTCAGTATCATAAAATGTATGCTCCCTGAGGTACCCCCTTCTCTGGACACTCAGCATCTGCACCTTATCTCTAGCCTGAAGATCAAAGGTGCACCCCATCATCTTGTTCTTTTCTACCACACTACCTGAGACCCTACTGTCTTAACCTTTGCTTGCAGGCCCCCCACATCTTCCCTGTGCAGAGCATGCTCTCCCTTCACCTTACATGACCACTTCAGTCTCCCCTTCTCTGCAGTCTCCCCTCCTTCTGTCACCCTTGGCAGATCACTACACACACACACCCCCCACACACACGTGCACACTGGCCTCTGCACATCGTGGCTCACAATTATTGCTGCAACTCATCCTCCACTGTTGACCTGTTGATGCCCAGGGTTTGTGAGCTCCTGAGAGCCCCCTGTTTCCTTCCTCTCTGTCTCCAAAGCATTGCTGAAGGGCCAGCAACCTCATGCTCTTTACATTCTCCAGATAGCAAACAGTGACTTGCCCATTCCTGTACTGTGCTGGTCTCCGTCTAGCCCCAGTGGCAGAGATGGAGGGAAAGCCAAGTCCTTCTTCCCAGGGTTGCTAAAGTACTCTCTGAACCTCAGTTTCCTCTGTAAAATGATCACAGTCATGTGCTTCATAGGGTGAGCATGAGGCTACATGTACAGCATTGAGCGTGGTGCATTAAGTAGAGCTGGCACTTTGCTCCAAGCATCTGCCCCCAGACTCAGGGTATAGGCTGGGGTGCCCATGGACACTTGGGGCAGGACTGAGAACTGACCATAAATAGGCCAGGCTATACTCCAAAACCACGTCTTGGTTGAGTATCAATGGGTCCACTCCTGCCAATCCTGAGCCCCTCAGCAACTCCCCCAAATTAGAGGAGATCCCACTGTGATCCTATGGGGTAGGAAGAGGGGGGCGGAGAAGATAGGACGAGTCAGCTGTGCTAGGTGGAGGTAGAGTGGGTCTCAGACGGTTTCCAGTCTCCCAGGACACTCTCGTTTTCCCTCGCCATAGGGAAATGCTTCTGGTCAAATGTCAGAGCCTCAGAGTTGGCATCAAGCAAGGCTAGAAGGGATCTTTTCTTTGCCACTTACCAGCTGTGACTTTGGGCAGCCCCTTCTCTGAATCTCTGTTCATTATCAGGGCATTGTAAAATGGAATGGTATGTTCAGGAACAGAAGGGAAAGTGTAAAAGGCCCAGGGGCAGGGTCTCTATTATTGTCATTCCCAATCTTCCAGGTGGTAGACCTTCAAAGTCCAGGCTAGCTGCCCACAGTGCCCTAGCCTAAGTGAGGTCAAACCTGCCTCCCAGGGCTCCATTTGGCTTCCCCTTGGCCTCCTGGAATAGTGGGGAAGAGACCTGTAAGGCAGCGCCCCCTGGTGGCATGACACTGCCTGCACACAACAAAACACTCCCCATCACCAACTTCTTGCTGATTTTGGGACCAGGAGTGGTGGCCCCACAGTGACAGTCGTGGATTACACGAATTCATAGAGTTGCCAGGACACAAAATGCTCTGGAACTTCCAGGTGGCTCACTTCTTGCTTGCATGGGGCAATGCAAACACCTCAAGGAATCCTATGTCCTACATTAAAAATAGTTCCCCCCAAAGCAATTGTGTGAGGGTACCGTGGGCTAGCAGAATAGGGCTACTGGAAAGCTCGCATCTCCAGGGTAGCTGGCCCAAAAAACAGGAACAAAGCTAGAAAGGGAAGGGAAGGGAAGGGACGGCAAGCGCTTAGGGCTTAGGCCATTGGTAATGAATGTCAGAAAACCAGTCATTATCCTTCCATGACATGATAATTATCACTCCACAAGAAATTGCAATCTCTATTTCAATAATCTTCATGATGATCAAGGAGCAAACCCCATTCTACAGATAAGGATATGGGCTCTTAGAGGAAAAAAATTGCTCACAGAAATAAAATAACAGATGTGGGATTTGAACACAGGTCAATTGACCCAAAAACCCAAGCTTTGAACAACTGTGTTTCATTGCCTCCTGATAGTCCAATGTTTAGCACATGAGGAGGTGACTGTCCCAGCCACCTAAAGCTTGGCCCTTGGTTGTCAGAGCATGTGCTGCCAGTCCCGGTGAGTTTCTTACTGTCTTCCTCTCAGTTGAAGCCACTGGCCTTCTTTGGACAAGGCTAGAGCTCCAGGTCAGAGTCAGATGCTGGGGCACCACCTCCAAACATTCTAGAATCATGGCTTATGGACCCCAGATCTTGGTATCCAGGCACTGGTTCCCCCCACACACCGCCAGCACTGCTGAGTGGAACCGACCCAGCAAATCCTTGGTGCGCCTGCATCACCCACGGGTGAGGACAGGACTGCTCTGCAGGGTGGCATCCAATGATTGCCATCTTTTTGGCCAACCTGGAAACCTGCATGAAATTCTACATTCCTGAACTGGAGTTCCTATTTCTGGCTATTCGGATTGCTTCAAAGTGGGTGTGCCACCCATTAGAGAAAGGGAGGAAGGGTGGAAATTAGACTATCAGAAGGAAACTCTTCTGGTGGAAACAGGAGGCCTGTTACTGGTGCCCCAGGAGTTGTGCTCACAGTGGCCCTGCATAGAACCACCCAGAGAAGTGAGAAGAAAGTAGATGAAGGTCAGTCTGGTGACCCTCTAAGCCCCTCCCTAACTCTTGGTTGCAGAGGCTGCACTGCCAACATTGACCAGTAAGACACTGGGTCCAGAGGACAGCGATGAGACATCCAGGCAAGAAACTCTCGTACTTACTCTCTAGTTTTCCTCCTTCCTTCCTATATATATCCAAGTGAACACCCCAGTTATGGAAAAA